GGGGGGGGGGGGGGGGGGGGGGGGGGGGGGGGGGGGGGGTTTAGTGGGGTAGTCCCTCCAGTCCCCACATAACTCCTGAGTCTCCCTGGGCTCAGGGGTATCCATAAAGATTTCCCCCCCGTCAAAAAAAAAGGGCTGACGAAGCCGGTAAATGAGCGTTTCTTACACTTAACACAGACGCGTGCCGATGACTATTACGCCATCACGCGCAAAAAGACGGCCTCGTTGCTCTGTAGACTTTCGTTCTCCAGTCGACAATCGGCCGAAACAAGAAATACATCATACTCGACCAAATAACAAAGGCAATGTCAAATATGAAGCTTTTAGTAGAACTCGAACCGACGATTCACCGAGTTGGGCATAATCGGCCTTTTTTTTTTTTTTTTTCTGGGGGGGGAAATCTTTTTGGATACCCCTGAGCCCAGGGAGACTCAGGGGTTATGTGGGGACTCTCCCTCCAGACTGGAGGGCCTACCCCACTAAAACCCCCCCGGGTTTCCCTCTCGCCGGTTGAGTCGGCGCCGTGGGATCAGTGAGCATTCACCACGACGCCGCCCGGCCGCCCTAGCTTACGCCAGGGCTCCCGCGCCAACGGAGGGGCGAGTCGGTTGTCCTCCGACCCGCCCCCCAGACGAGTGAGGCCGTGCAATGCAGGCTCCGGAGTCCCTGTCCAGAGCCCGCTGGTCTCACTAGGGGATCAGGCGAGCAGCGAACTGCCTTCGCCTTCTCCCCGTACGTCTGCGCCGGAGCGGGTGCGCGTCCGCCGCGTCCTCGCGCACCCGCTCCGCGGCCTCCTTTTGCGACATAACCTCTGCGCAAAAGGAGGCCACCGCCTCCCAGGACTCCTCGCTTTCGAGCATGGCGGCAACCACGCTCGGCAGCGAGAGGTCCTGCCCTACAGTCCCCGTCAGAGTGCGGCGCTGCTCATCCCACCGGCTACACACCTCTAGGGTGTGCTGCGCGGTGTCATCCGCAGCCCCGCACTCGTGGCACGACGGGGACGGTTCCCTCCTCGCCACCTTGTGCAGGTAGTGACCGAAGCAGCCGTGCCCGGTCAGCACCGGGCATAATCGGCCTGCCGAACGCGACTCGAGCGTGTTGGAAGGTCGCCCAACCGACCGAGAGAGAACGAACAGCCGACGCGTTGTATGAATGAAATATTCGACGCGGCGGGGACCGAATCGAGCTAGATCGAGTTCATAAAAAGTAACTCGAGTTGTAGGAGTAACTCGAGTTTACCGAGTTAAATAACTCGACTCGTCCATCGCTAGCTTCATTCTCATCATGCGTCTTTCATGTTACACGTCCGGGAGTCTTACCATTTGCTTAAGAACACCTATTATATAACCATGTAACTTGCCATTTGACAGTAATTGTTTCGGACAGATATCGACATTTCTTTCACGTGCTTGTTAGCAAAAGGTGTTTCTGAGAAAAATAATTTACCGACAAACATCATTAGGTATTAATGCGTGGGCCGCAGTTTCCGGAATGAATAACAAAAAAATACTACAAATGGTCAGAAATGAATTTATTGTTTCTCAAAATATTCTCCGTTAGCGTTAATGCACTTTTTCATAGGAATGAACCAATTTTGAAAACATTTATGCCACTCCTCCGTGACATTCTCTGAAATATATTTTTCATACTATTCGACAGCCTCTTCAGGTGATGAAAACCGCGTAACTGGTTCTTAATTTTTGGAAATAAATAAAAGTCACAACGTGTCAGGTCGGGACTGTACGCGAGATGGCTCATAAGGTCAACGTTGTTCACCTTCAAAAATTCATTGGTCTGTCTGGCCGTATGATGAATGTATGTAAATTGGAATGTTTTCTTTGTAAAATTAAAAATAAGGTATTTAATTAATAACTATTGTAACTATAGTGAAAAAATAGGTTGGTTTGCATTAATATTAGACATAACTGGTTGAAGACTGTACCACCTCAGTCAACCGTGACCATTGGGACCTGTAAAGGGCCCGAAACGTCGGTTTGTTTGAAAAAACAAATATACGCGATTTAAATCCGGAAAAATAGTTTCATTTCCTATGTGTAACAATCGCGAAAACCTAAGAACTCGATATTGTCAAATAGATGTAACTCCAATAAAAAAGCCGATAAGTAAACTTTAGAAGTCGGTTTTTTTGCATAAAAAAGTTATAATTTTTAAACCATTTTCCTGATGAATTAGATGCTTTTGAGATAAGCCACTGTTAGAGAAAGTCATTGAGGTATATATCGATATCTGGTATAGATATTATTTATAAATTAAATATAATGAATTTTCAATATACGACAATTCTACGGTCCTATAAATCATAAACTACAATACCATCATAACACATTTCCGTTCACAAACTATTTTTAATTAAATGACATAACTTTGCCGAATAAATAAAACTTTTTTTTTCAACAGGCTCTCAGTTTTTACCGGATTTTGAAACCACATCGTTATTCTATCAACATTGAAGCACATTTTAAGAACCTTGGCGCCTTAAAAGAAAAATACGAAGTGAGTATGTGCCTGTATTATAAGGGCATAGGCTTCGATCCGGACACGTTAAACAATCTTTTTTATTTGATGCGGAGAGTAAACTCACCGAATCACGAAATATCTGGAAGTGTTCGGACGGAACCTATCTGCCCCCGTAGTCCTGGATAAAGCTATTATATCCATGTTTAGCTGTCAAATTCGAGTGATAAACATTTTAAAATTGTATCACAATAGCGAACATGGCGAGCACCGTGACGTCACATTTTTATGTCATCGCGAGTTTCGGCGATCAATGACTGTAAAAGAGGAAACACATGGCTGCAAGGTCACAGCAGATTTTAAAACATTTGCACATAATTTTATCAACGTAAAAAATGAGCGCGACAAACGAGATGAAAAGACTTTCTTGTTTCATGGTTTTCACAGCGATGAATAAACGACAAAGATACACGCAATTTCATATTGTTGTCCTTGTTCTTTAAAATGTATAGCAATGGTTTATTGCCAAATACTTAGATATATCAACTGAATTAAATAATGTCCCGGGAAGGTTTATCAGACATATTCTGCCGTGCTACGGCCACAGTACATTTAATGTTGGGTGGTTTCAATCCATTTTGTTGCAGCGAATATGTAGTGCCGCGAAGACTTTGTATACATGTTTGGATAGGTAAAATTTTGTTTTGTCTGTCTGGATTTTATTGTTTTCTTGAGGTATTGTTTTTCTGACGGGGCTGACATGTACAATTATGATCAAACCCCGAAATAAAATAAAGAGTAAAAAAAATATGTATCTACACATAAATTACAAAAGCAATAAAAATAACCAAATAGCTAACTGTCCTTATCCCACACAAGACATTCGCTAAAGACAGAAAGAGACCCGTTACGTATATTTCAATTTTCGAACCACAAGCGATTGAAATATTTATATTTAGAACAAAGAAACTATAGAGTTGATTTAATGTTAATATTATTCTTAAAATGACTTTTTATTAAATGTTAGTAATAAATAACTAACAAAATATTGTTGTATTTGTTTTACTGTTTGGAGTTATCAATCAGAACTCCGAAAATACACTTACTCGAAGTAATGCTTGCTCGAATTTTTGTAATCCCAAATGTACTTTTTTAGGTTATTTTAGGAATATTACAAAACAACACTAACTTAATCTTTTCTTTTTAATAAACAACCAAAACCCCCTGAAAGCATAACGGTTTTGTTATAAATCGGTTTTCGAGATTATAAAACTTTGAATTTACTTCTAGTTCTCTATTCTATCTAGAAATTCGAATCATCGATACATTTCTTACAGCACGTCATAACTACCAACAGAGAGATACAGCTATTTTCACACTTACAATATTTGTACGTACCTATACATGTGCACAACTCTTATTACTTGAAGTGAATTCGTATAAAATGCAACATAATACTATAAAATTAATTAATATTGACATTAAGACTACTCCATCACTCTTGTGTTCAAGTAGTTTTCACTAGAAGCTAAATATGGTGCATTTTGTTATTTCCAGTAGAAGCTGAATATGGATAATTTTTGGGCCTTTAAAATGTGGCAAACAAAATTAAGCAATACTGTAACATTTAGTTTTTTTAATATTTATATACATGTCACTACGTTTGTAGACGTTAATCCGGCCATGCTTGTCATTGGCTCCAACGCTGACCGCGAAAAGCCATAAACTGAAAAACTCCGGACATTTTTATTTTTTATTATTATCGGATTAGACTTTGGATTATATTTATTGTCATCCATTTATTGGTAAGTCACTGGGTAACCTCCCCTGGCAAATACAAGTAAAACAATACTACTGTTACACTACACACAAAATTGGAAAAAGAAATTCACTACATCCAGTCTAGCCAAGGGTGGAATTACATTTTTCATATACATGATTAACCAGTACGTAATGCATATCGACACCGTCACATCGATAACTTTCCGTCTCTAGTATAGTCTTGAGAATCGATTTATTTTTATAGGCCTATTCTGTGTACGGACATTATATGAATGGACGTTTTATCTGTGTATTTGTAAAAATAAGCTAGTGTTGTAGAGATTTGTTTGTGTGAGACCATATTCCATTTTGCACCAGAATTCAATTTTGCATTTGAGTGCACCTGTTTGCTCGTAGTACTACCCCTAACTCAAAAAGTGGCAGAAAGTTTTGTTCGAGAAATAACGCTAATAGCGCCTCCCGTCCTATATGCTCTCAGGTTAGGGCAAACGGGACCGTGGATCGTAAACCACGTGACCTCAGCCTGGCCATTCTCATAATTTGGTGTTCTCAGCTTAATTACCGTAGCCATTTTTTTCTATCGTATTATACCTAATAACTACGTAAAGCAGATATTTGTGGTTCTTTATAATGTCAGACAGGAAAGGAAACAATTTGCATATGAAAAAATTTTTTTGAAAATAGCCGAGACCCGTCTCATGTGGGGTGTGGGAATACCTGGAGATTTTTAGTGAGTAAAAGTCTTACACACAGAATATGTGTGTGGTCTCATATAACCACCGCGCCTCCCTGTTACGCGGTGGTTTCCACAGAACAATAAATACAGCAGAAATGGTTATTAGCATCTGAAGCGTGCGAATTATTATAGAAAACCTAGAAAACTTAGAAAACTCTAAAAAACTTAGAAAAATGTCTTGTTGTGCTGTTTTGGAGTGCAAAAGTTATAGTCGCACCAAGAATATTATCCGTTGTGGTATTTTATATAATCGGAGTCTTATTTTAATAAACTTTCAATTTTCTGTTTATCGAAATATTTTTTTGTTAGAAGAAACGAACGTAAAGCTTATACCCCAGCGATATGGTCGTTTGTTTTTTGGAGAACTGAATTAATAACTCCAAATTGAGAGACTACTTAGGGACCAATTCATTCTTAAGCGAAATATCATATATGCATAAATGTATCTGAGAAATTATAACTAGTTAAGCAGTTTGTCGATTTCATGTTCTAATAGTGACCTGTCGAATACATGTGTTGTCGAAGTAGTTTTCTGTCGGTGTAGTGACCTATCGAATGTTTGTGTTATCGAAGCAATGTTCTGTCGGACTATTGACCTGTCGAACATGTGTTTTCTCGAAGTACTCAAAGTATTGTCGAGTCGAAATAGTGTTTGTCGAAATTAAATATGACACTCATCTGGATTGTATAAACTTTCATACAGTATATAAAACTGCCCACAATCCTATTAAATGGATGTAATGCTTTATATATAAATCCATACTATTTGGTAGCGGGAAGCTTGCGGAAAAACCCACCGGAACAAACGCGAGGTGAGTTCTGGGGTATGGAGACCCTAGAGACGAAGGTCTCTGTAGGGTCTGACGGCGGTAAAGTGGACTGAAGAAAGCGACACGCCTTACCTTTATTTCTAAAAGGGTTCGTAAAGTATTCGGGCGGCCGCCGCTGTTCTCATATAATATGACTTTAGGGTTTTCTCCTTTTTTTCTTGACAATTTCACAACAAAGGAGACCATTTTAATTCTTAAATCTTAGATTTTTGTTCTTTTCAACGCATTGACTTACAAATAAATGGACGACGGGTCTAATACAAAAACCACGAAAAAAATATCCCAAGTCAACCTATTCGAAATTTAAATTGTAATGTCATCGCAGTATCGCGCTGTCAGTCGAACAAATGAAGACTAAAGCGGAGTTTGGCGCTCTGTATACGATTTTAGCGCCTTACAAGTGCGGACACTTTTTAGCGCGGACCTGACGTCCATATAATTGTAAGTCAACGTTTCAACGACACAATAATTTCCAATTTTTGACAGGCGTGCGCGAAGGTCACGGGGGAGATTTTACACAAGAAGATTTTGTTAGGAAAGTATGAGCGAGAGGGATGCGTGTATGAGGATAAATGAGAAAGGCGATAACACTATTTGTAATGGATTCATTATACTATAAGACGCAAACACCCGTACAAATACTTAAAAGCTCGTCTGGCTTCTCCCGTAATATACAAGAGCGCATTCAAATTAGCCGCTGTTAGACGTGTGACAGCAGCGCTGCAACCGCGCGGCGGCCGCGCTGCAGTCCCGTTCGGTTCAAATTAACCACGATGGATGAAAATCAAACTGAAGAATTTCTAGAGAATGTAAAACAACACCCTGCAATATGGGATAGCAGTTCCGCCAGTTATTCCAATCGACTGGATAAAAAAAGGCATGGGAAAATTTATGTCTAAAGTTTATTGACAAATTTTGAAACTGAAAAAAACATAGCGGGTGTCATTTTTAATACCTATATGTGAAGTGTGTGCTCCAAGAACTTAGTAAAAGTATAATGTTTCTTCGTCAGAATCCATCGCGTAACTGAGTCGAAAGATAAAACATCACTAAAAATTTCGCACTTCAGCAGCGCGACGATCGCGCGGCTACAGCGCTTTTAACAGCGGCTAATTTGAACGCGCCCTAAGAAGTAAATAATGCAAATAGAGATACACCACGGCATCAGTCTTTTTATTGCCGGATCACCTCAATCCTGGGCATAATCTACCTTGGCAAACTTGGAAGTCTCTGAACAGGTTGCGTATCTAAGTCGGTCGAAGCAAGGAGAGCATTTACAGGTGGGGTTATATGTCGGAGAGCGCAAGTATGTGTTGTGCTCTGCGTGTCCAAACGCCTCTGCACATGCGAGAACCTGTACCTACAACGCCACTGATAATGCTGTGTCAGTCGCTAAGTACTGGTCCTCACAAATATATGAGCCAGAGTCGACACGCTAAAAAGAAGAATGGAAATCATCGTCATCATGTCAGCCGGAAGACGTCCACTGCTGAACATAGGCTTCCCCCAAAGATTTCCAGACCAGCCTATCGGACACGACGTGCATCCATCGGTTACTCGCCGCCCTTACCAGGTCATCCGTCCATCTAGTAGGCGTCCGTCTTATTGAACGCCTTCCGCCGGTTCGTGGTCTCCATTCGAGAGCGTTTCTGCCCCAACGGCCGCCAGTTCTACGAGCTATGTGCCCTGCCCATTACCACTTCAACTTGCGGATTCCTTTGAGCTATGTCGGTGACTTTTGTTCTTCTACGGATCTCCTCATTTCTAATCAAACGAATCAGAAATGAGAAGAATTAATGAATTCGAGAATGGATATATTAATTTGTTTTAGGGTGGATTGCTAGAAAAAAGTTTTGGACCTGGCCTCCTTGGAGTTGTGCCTGCTTTCGATGATCAATATTTGAAGAAAATGCCTGGGAATAAATACGACGACGATGAACAAAAAACCGCAGGCATCAAACGTTCCTTTGAATTCTGCCAACCTCAATTTAGTGAGTTTAGTTGCGCTTATATTACATTACTACCATAGTATAATAGAACAAGTATGGCAACTCCATACAAACGTGGCAACGCGGCTTGTACATTCGCTTAACTCGCTCACGGTGCACTCGCGTTGCATAGCGTAAATCGTCGAGTATATAACCAGAAATAGAAACGAAATGTCATTTAATTTGTTTGAAATCTATCGTTACGGTGACTACTGCGCTCTAATTGGCCAGCCCGAATTTGAAACAATTGACGGGTGTCGTCAATGATAAGACGTGATTTCGTTTGTTTTGTAATTAAATGTTTTGCTGTTTTTCCTACACCACCGAACAGAACAGCGCGGCATTGTTAGAGATATTATCTTTATTACAATAAATACAGAGTATTTTTGGAATATACGGAGACGTACACCCAGGTCAGTACACACTTTTATTTGCGTAAAATAATTAGTAATTTCTCATTTGGCATCAGGGATCATCTCGAGAGTATACCCTTTGAAACAAAAAAAGAATTTTCAAAATCGGTGCACAATTGATGGAAAAATTGGTGAATACACGGACATGCCTATAAAATTGAGGATTTCCTTCGGTTTTCATGGGATCCCCTCAACAGATTCTCACTTGGTGAAAATGGGACCACCACGATAGTGCACCTTTTCAAACAAAAAAATAATTTTCAAAATCGGCCCACAATTGACAGATATATCTGAAAACATACATACAGCCGAACGTATAACCTTCTCCTTTTTTTTCAAGTCGGTTAAAAAGTATCAGACAGTGTAACAAAATCTTAAAAGTTTCTTTTTGGTAAATTTATTATGTTTTGTAAACAGTAACGGAACAAAGGTTGTTCCTGATGTTAGAAATATAGTCCTGCAAGGTAAAAATAACCCTATTTATTTTTTAATTATTTGTTTTCAGTTTCGTATGTCCGATATAATGAGCGTTTCTACGAAGACCAGGTGTTGCCATTCCCGTTCAATAGGTATCATGTATTCGACAATACAAGTACTCCACTTGTCATGTATCCACATACGTTGGGGGAAAATTACTTGGAAGCGTACATTTTTCTCCTGTATTTTGTAAGTTATATTCTCGATTTTTCTTGTAATTAAGTTTTGTTGTCAAGATGTTTGACCTGCATGATATTCAATTATTTTTTTGCAAAATTATTCCATTAATTTCATTATAATTATTAAACAAATATCGAACACTTCGGGACGGGACGAACACGTCGTGCGCCTGATGGTAAGCTACACGCCTGTCCGCAACAGATGCAGTGCTACTCAGAGCTTTAAATCGCAAAGATCTGAGGATAACTGCCACTGCGCCTGTCACCTTGAGATATAAGTTGACAAGTCCCATGTGCCTGCAATTTCACCAGCAACCTTACCTTTCAAAACCGGAACACAATAATGCTGATATTACTGCTTGGCGGCAGAAATAGGTAAGATGGCAGTACTTCCCTGGATGAACTCTTTCACAAGGACCTCTACTGCTACTACTTAGAAAAGGTTCACTTACTTCTCTTCGATCCGGCTGGATTCGAACCAGCGTCTCCTAGCAAACAGTGCCGGACGCTATGCCAACTGTACCACGGAACGAACCAACAGACCTCACGAGTCTTTCCATGTGCTTGTTGCAGGTCTTTTGGTTTTTAACGACTTTTTTACTATAGCGCCTTCAGTGAGAAATCCAGATATAGAGTCCGGCATGGTTTGCTGGGAGACGTTGGTTCGAATGTAACCGAATCGAAAAATCCTCTGAAAACATGTGTACCCAATCCGCATGGGGTCTGTGTGGCGGATTATGGCCTAAGCCCTTGCCTGAGAGGAGGCTCGTGCACAGCTGTGGAACATATAAATGGGTTGACGAAAGCTTTTTAAGAATTAAATAGTTAATGTTGTTTAATATTCTTAGTGGAATATAGTTTTAATATGTATTACTTGGTGTAACGGGCCAGTATCCGCAACTCGACATCAAGGCGAAGAAATATTTGCTTTCAGTAGTCTCTTCTTCTTTTTAATCGCCTCCTCACTGCTGAGGATCATGACTCCACTTCTGCCAACCGTTTGCCTCCACCGGTTGCGCTCAGTCGCATGTTGCAGAGCGGCGATGACTGGTAGTTTAAGTTGTTCGGAGATTTGATCCGACCACCTTTTCGGACTCCTGACCTTACTTCTTTTACTCTTTCCCTTCACCTAACCCTGTCACCATTAAACGCTCCAAGGCTATCAGCATCTCTACGTGTCATGTGACCAAAATAGCGTATTAATGCAAGTTGAAGACAGACGCTGTGCATTCTTTATCTTGAGTTCCTTAAGTACAGAAACATTGGTGCGGCGGGCTGTCTATGGTACCTTTAACATTTTGCGCCAGCACCACATTTCATAGTCGTCAATTCTTTGCCTGTCGGCGACCTCTAGTGTCCATGTTTCTGCACCCTATAGAGAGATGGAGAAGACAAGAGTGCCAATTAGATGTCTTTTAGTTCGGTTTCTGATATTCCTGTCTCTCCATATCTTGCTCAGTTGAGTCATTGCTGTCTTTGCCATCCTAATTCGGCTTCATATTTCAGGTTACCAAAGAGCCCAGGTATTGAATGAAACTGGTTCTCGGTCTCGTATTCTTGCAGCAAATTAGTACGCTGAATAGTCGCGAAACGGTCTATCACCATGAGCTTAGTCTTAGGTTTATTCATAGCAAGACCCATTTCTAGACTATTTCTTTCCAAACGATCCATTAGCTCCGCCATTTCAACTTCCGATTATGCAAAAAGGGTGGTGTCATCTGCGTATCGGAGGTTAGTCACTTTGACCCCATTGATGCCACCTTCCCAATCTTCGAGCGTTTGGCGCATTATGTACTCACCATAAATGTTGAACGAAATAGGAGGAATCGTGCACCCCTGTCGAACGCCATTCTGCAAATTGGAACGGTGCGACTTTACGTTTCTATTTTAGTCCATTATTGCAAGATTAAAGCTCAAGTTAAACTAGTCGATTTGAAATGAAACAATTGACGACACCCGTCAATTGTTTCGAATTGGGGCTGGCTAATTGGGGCACAATTGTCACCGTAAGACTCAAGTCACACTGGCGCAGAGTCGAAGCATCGCGACGCGTCATTTTTGTCTCCTATAGCATATTTATCTCTATTTTCCTATCATTAAGGTACAAATTTGTGTTATGCAAATATGGAGTCAAGAGTCGACGCTTGGTCTGACGCCTCACTGCGCCGCGCGTTGCTTGAGCGCAGTGAGGCGTCAGACGCCGACCACACTGTGATCCGGGCGCACTAATGCGAGCGTCGTCGCCAGGTGTTGTAGTTGAAAAGAGCGCCAGTATGAATTGAGCCTAACGATATGGCAGAATAGCTTTCAAACGAATTAAATGACATTTCGGTTATATGCTCGATGTAAACAGCAATTAATAACTATATGTTATATTCCATTGATTTATTACATTTATCAATTTGTTTTTTCTTCATCATGACAAGACTATAATGTTCTCGATCATTCTCGGACTAGCGTTCACTACCTAATTTCCTCAAATTGTTATTATTTAAGTAATTATTTTTCTATCGTTCAATATTATTTAACATTCAAGTATTATATCGTGAAATAATATTTAATAATTACACGATAATTCTTAATGAGCCCCCAATACTTCGAAAACGACACCCAACTTGCCATTATTTGAAAAATCGTGCCCGCCATCTTAGATTTAGAAATGAGTGCCATATTCGTAATGAGCACTCCCAAATACCTCGAAAACGATACCCAACTTGCGATTATTTGAAAAATCGTGCCCGCCATCTTGGATTTAGAAATGAGTGCCATATTTGTAATGAGCACCCCCAAATACCTCGAAAATGATATCTTGGATTGAGAAATGAGTACCATATACTTGACATTGTCGATCCACGGTAACGATCGACAAAATCGAGCAAATCTCTAGGCACCTGGTCGACAATGTCGAGCAAATCAGTAGGCACCTTTAACTTAATAATGTAAGCAAGATATAATTTCCCCACTTTTGAGGGAAATGTTATTCCATGGCATCATTATTTGTATATTTGTGTGCGTGCGAACGAACGTAAATACAAGTTGCTTACGCCTACATGAATTTGAATTTTGCCTCACTTGCGACAGTTCATTTGATGTGAAACTGTCATTATGCGTTATTATTCTAAACCTGAATATTTAAATAATAAAGATTGCCACGGAAATTAGATAATGGACACTAGGACGACTGTTTTTTACTGACTGTTATTATTCTCGTAATACAATATACTAGTTTATGTGACCGTACATAATGAAAGGCAGTAAAATACGAGTGTGGGTTTAAAAACATCACACGAGTGTTTTATGCCTGATTATATACAGTTACATGCACTGCTTTATCTATACACATACTATAAGCTCTCTATGATGTGTTCAGGTACCTCATGTTACGACCAGCAATGCGGCATTGATCAGAGCTATTAGCAGTAATTATTAGTAAAATAATGCAAAGAAAGTGCGTTTTCAGACAGGGCGACGTATTTTTCGCCATTCTCCATTTCATAAAATCTTGGTAACTTTTTCGTACTCGTTTCTTGACTATGCTCGTAACAAGTCATTTATAACGTTCAGGATTTTCAGTATCAGGTGGCGTATCCGAAATATCTTGATCACTACTTGATCGTTTATTTTACGCGAAAGTGGTGCAATACTTAGTTTATAAAATAAACAACAAAACATACTAAATGGCGGCAAATAAAAACTTTTCTCAAGCAAGTCACGCTACCGTAATTTTTTTTTAATTCATAGACAAACTATAGTCGGCTCCAACTATCATTTTGTTGATATCAAACTTAGACTATGGAAACCAAAGGACATGTTATATTGACATGTATAACTCAGATGTTATATGTATATTATGCATTTAGAAACATAAACATTTTATTGTCTTTGTTTAACTACTGCATGCCGTCGTAAGCCAAAAGAGATAGCACCACATTGATTTATGTCAAACACGGGAATCGAAAATACGTAACGTCATCTTAAATGCCAACTGTCATTTTGCCATTTTTGGAGTACATCAAAGGGAAGTACATCAAATGTTAAAACCAATGTTTGGCCATATGTTTTAGTGAATTATTCGCAAGAATTGTAATGAAATGGAGAAAACTATTGACAGTGAGAACAATTGAGTATTGATTAAAATGCGTCGCTACGACATTAAAGGGAGCGGCAGTAGAAAAGGCGGAAATCAACCGAATGTTACGTTGCACTGGCATGTGTTATTTTTTTGTCTATAAATCAAAAATAGCCCAAATATCGCATGTAATTACACTCATTTAAGTAGTTTATTCATAAGTCTTGCCGAATTTTGCTTTGGTTACTTTAGATTGCCTGTTGGTTAGTATATTTTGATGATTGTTGATAACGATTATTTTGAGATAGTGTTGTTCTTGTAAGCAGACATATTATCGATATTCTGTTATTAAAATAATTCACTACCAGGTTTTTATTATTTTATTGTTATTATTTTACTATTTCAAGTTTACCTACAAATGAAAAAAGAAAGGAAGAATGGTTGGAAATTATAGGATTGCCGAACATAAACATTGGATCAAATATCATCTTCGTTTGTTCGCTCCCTTTTTAGGGTCAAATTTTAATAGAACTTTGAATGTAACTAGATTATATGATAATGCAATTCCATCGTCGCATTTATTGATAAATAATTTTAAATTTAATTTTGAGTAATTTCTTGTTTGGTACTTGGTACTTGGTGCAACGGGCTGGTATCCGCAACTCGACGACAAAGCGCCCTTGTTTACGTTCATTGCTAGGCATACTCAGTTCCTTAAAACCATCCACTCGTTTCCGATTTTTCCCCACTGACAACTCTAACATTATATTACACGAGCCCTATACCCGAGCCCTGTGGCACGTAGTCGCTTTCAGATTACGGGGTGTGCTTATGCTCGTCGGTGGCACAATGATTAGTACTATGGGCGCTTGATGAGGAGGTTCCAGATTCGATCCCTTATTTGAGCCAATTTATGAAAAAACATTTTTAAGTTGGTCATGATCAGGGTATTCTGGGTATTGCCTTCAGAATTATCGTTACTCTGGTACTCATAGTACAGGAAATTCCCTAGTTTGAGACCAGAAATTTGAAGTGATTGTCTGGCATTTTTTCCCTAAGTACTTCTCTTTTTGGCATAGCTTCCAATAAAAAAGAGTCTAACAGAGAGACAGTTGAGATACAACAACGCTATAAGTTGTATAAGTAAATGAGATATTATTTCCACTACATCGGGAAGTATGCCTTACATTTTGAACAATTGTGAAATCTAGTCCCCGTATACTACCTACGTAAGGTGGTGTGCGGACGCTTCGGGCTTCGTCCTCCGCTAGACCTCGGCCTACGACCTCAGCACTTATGACTTTAAAAAAATTAACATAGCTCTTTAATGGCGGCCATGTAGATAAATGGCAAAAAGTAAATTTTGACTGCAAATTATTATTTAACAACCATAGAGAACCCCTTATGGCGATTATCAATAGAATTAGAGCAAAATTTTATCAACCGCTAAAAAAAATTTGTGAGCCATATTGAAAAATAAATTTTGACCGGAAATTATTACTAAACACCCATAGAGCCACACCCCACCCCAAACCCCCACATGCCGATTTTTAAGAGAATTAGAGCAAATTTTCATCTACCACCAAAAAATACTTCTTTGGCAACCATATTGAAAAATGGCGATAAACTAATGCTGATCACAAATTATTATCAAGCACTCCTAGAGACTCTCACATGACAATTTTGGAAGGGATCAGAACAATTTTTTATCTACTGCCAACAAACGCTTGTATGGCGGCCATGTTTGGAAATGGCGAAAAACCAATTTTGTGTACAAATTATTATTTGGCATTTTTAAAGGCCTCCACATGCCAATTTTCAGCTGAAACAGAGCGAGTCTCATTCGGCGGCTATTTTTAACGAAAAAAAAAAACATTTATATGACAGCCATATTAAAAAATGGCGAAAAAACTTTTGACCCCAAATTATAATTAAGGACTCCTAAAGACCTCCGCATGCCAATTTTCAGCCGCATCGAAGCAAGTTTTTCTTCGGCCGCCATTTTGGATTCGCTATCTTGAATTTTTTTACACAGGCAGTTGACCACTATTACCCTCTACGACATTCCTTCCAGCACCTTCTACCTATCTCTAATGGTTTCCGTTATAGAAGACTTCGAAATTTGTATGGTGGCCATCTTGTTTATTTGATTTTCGAACATTTTTTACTAACTATAACTATTTGTACCACGTTTTATAAAATACACATAATTATCATCAATTCATTTGTACATACCACTGCGGGTAAAGGGCCTGATTTCAAGCGAGAGCATTTTTTTTTACAATACTTGGTGACGGGACGAACAAGTCGTACGCCTGGTGGTAAACGGGACGCCTGTTCATAGCAGTTGCAGCGCCACTGAGAGTTTTAAATCACAAAGTTCTGAGGGGCACTGCCACTGCGTAGGACACCCTGAAACATAAGTTGACAAGTGCCCCGTGCCTGTACTTTCACCTACTCTTCGAAACCGGAACGCAGTAATGCTCACATTACTGCTTGTCAGCAAAAATAAGTAAGGTGGCAGTATTTCCCTGGAGTTCGTCCTTTTTTCGCACAAAGAGCTATACTGCTACTAAACAAGTATACCATTGTCTACCACGCTGAGGACTTCACACGTTTTCCGAGGATAGTGAACCTTCTTCGAAGAGCATGCAGGTTTAATCACGATGTTATCCTTTATCGAAAAGCTCATGGTAAATTTCTAATTAAATTTCGCATGTAAATTCGAAGTGCCAGCCCGTATTTGAACCCGCGGCCTCTGGTTGAGAGGCGATAGGTCAAACTATTGGGCGACCTCGGCTTCTTTGGACAAATTAAAATCGTTCAATTACAATGTTTGTTTCAGTTAGTCGCTCTGATTTTAATACTCATGGCAATATATGATACTGAACCACAGTCCGACGAAGTGACTAAAAGATTTTACACAGAGAAGAAAATAAGACGCTACGCTACCCAAGAATGGATACATGTTGTTGAAGAAGACCCAGTTGAAGACGCTTTGAAGAAATGCTTTCCTATACCTGAAGATAAATGTGTGGAAGAGTTTGAAAATGCAATGCTTAGAGATATTTGCGTCGGTTCGCAGCTTGAACCCAACGTTTGTCCTGAGGTTGGTAAACATTTGAAAATATGTCCCAACATTGAAGATGACATGAACATTGACTTAGATAGTCCTGCATCAAATACAAACTTAGGCACGCCTAAATCGAATAAATATAATCGTTTTTTACCAGAGAATAAAGAATTACCAGATGATTATGAAGAAGCACCAACAACTCCAAGGAAGGAAAAAAATGCTATGCAGAATAGCATCCCACCCAAGATCCCACACAGGATTCACAGAAGACACGCATTAGATCCCGTCGTTCCACTTGATACACCACCTGAAAAATTTTTAACCGGCATAACTAATGAACAATTGAAGGTGACAATGACCCCTGAACAAGGAGATATTGGAAGAAAATTATTGCCCGAGATCCTATCTAAAAAGGAAAAGGAAATCATGTTAAAACAAGACAAAAAAAAAGAAGTTAGGTTTGGAGAAAATAAAATAATTTCGACGGAAATAGAACCAATCAGTTCGGAACTAAAGCAAAACATCTTACTTACAACGGAAGAAGACAGACCAACGAAAAAGGATTCTTTACCTAAAAAATTGGACGATGTATGTATGTTTGAAGGAATTTGCTCTGCAATCAGAGCAGCTGTTGAACAATCTGAATTGAATCCCGATGATATCGAAAAATGTGTTAAAACATTATGTTCTAGTGAGGATTGTAGTTTAGGCACTTGTTCTGGAATAACAATACCTTGTATAAAAAGTAATAGTAGTTCAGATGAATTTAAAATGGCACAAAAAATACCGTTTTCTATGAAGTCTCCGGAAGATGAAGATATAGCTGCTCGAATAATGTCTGAAATTGATAAATCTTGTAAACGCATTCGTTCGGTAAAATTATCCTGCACAAACGCGGAAGCTGTAGTGAAAATCGGAAGTATTTGTGATGATCTGACAAAAGTTTTGAAAACACTTTGCACTGAACGTAAAGTGATAGAAGAAATAAGAACTAAAGACAAGATCAAAATAGCAGATCGGAAACAGCTAACTAGGTCTACAACTGATAAAACGACTGATAAAGACTTATACCTATCATTACTAAAATTGGATGAAGAAAACAATAATTTTAAAAAACAAGGACAAGATATGCCTCTTTATGGAGACATACCTGAAGTTACAAAAATGAGATCACAAAAAAAACAAAAAGAAAACGAAAATGCAAGAGGTAAAAAAAGTATACAAGACAAATCGAAAAAGCGGCCTAAGCATACAACCGGTAAAAATACTGCTGAATATTTATACTCAGAAGAGTCAGATGAAGAAAAAAAAGAAAAAAAAAGAAACATGGACGACCATAAAAAGCAAGGTCTAGATATGTCTCTTCTTGGGAAAACACCTAAATATACAAAAATGAGATTGCAAAAAGATCTAAAAGAGAAAAAAAAACCTGAAGATGCAAAAAAGGTTAAGAAGCCTAAGCCTAAAACTGGAAAAGAAATTGATCAAGATTTAATTTCACCGTCAGCTGAGTCGAGTGAAGAAGTATCTTCATCATCGAAAGAGTCTAACGCTGAAGAAGAAAAGGCCATAGCCGATCTTAAACAACAAGGACGAGATATTCCCCTTTCTGAGAAAACTGCTGAAGATACAAACACAAAATTAGGGCGAGATAAGCCTTTACCTGGGGAGACCCCTGAATATGCGAAAAAAAGGTTTCATAAAGCATTAAAACAAAAAGAAGCTAGACATAAAAAAAAGCTGAGAGACCAGTCATCTCTTAAGATGCCGATTAAGTCTAAAATATCACCAAAAGTGTTAGATGAAGAGGAAAAAATCAGATACTGCCTTAAAAAATACGGACGAGATAAGCCGTTACCTGGGGAGACCCCTGAAGATACAAAAACAAGATTTGAAAAAGAATTAAAAGAGAAAATATTAGCTAGAAATAAAAAAAAGCTGAGAGACCAATCATCTCTTAAAATGCCGATTAAATCTGAAATATCGGCAAAGGTGTCAGATGAAGAAGAAAAAATCATAACCTATCTTAAAAAACACGGACGAGATAAGCCTCTA